CCTTCCGCACCGCCCCAGGGGGACCCTAACACGGATAACGGTAGGGAGCGTCTACTCCAGCATCGCCAGATTCTGTTACAGGGGCTTCACGCAGCGGCACGAAAGCCCACCGATCTGACAAAGATTCAGGACACGGTCCAAGGACCGAATGAGTCGCCTGCAGCCTTCCTAGAAAGGCTTTCCCGGGCTTACCGCTTCTATTCCCTATTGACCCCGAGGCAACAGAGAACCGTAAAACCATTAATATGGCTTTCGTTTCTCAGTCGGCCCCAGACATCCGTAAAAAGCTCCAAAAATTAGAAGGATCCGAAGGAAAGGTAATTTCAAAGTTGGTGGAAATAGCCCAGCGAGTTTTTCAGAGCAGGGACAGCCCTGCCATTATGCAAGGGAAGGAAATAGGGAAAGCCCTAGTAGCAGCCTGGGGAAAACCCCCCCAGGCAACAGCAAAGGACAGGGAAGGCCTCAACCCCGCCAGAAAGGACCCCGAGCAAAGCTGGGAAAAAAATCAATGTGCTTATTGTAAGGAAGAAGGACATTGGAAAGATAAATGCCCCAACAAAAAGCCCCCCCATCCTCGGGGCGCCTGGGTGGCGCAGTCGGTTAAGCGTCCGACTTCAGCCAGGTCACGATCTCGCGGTCCGTGAGTTCGAGCCCCGCGTCAGGCTCTGGGCTGATGGCTCAGAGCCTGGAGCCTGTTTCCGATTCTGTGTCTCCCTCTCTCTCTGCCCCTCCCCCGTTCATGCTCTGTCTCTCTCTGTCCCAAAAATAAATAAACGTTTGAAAAAAAAAAAAAAAAAAGCCTCCCATCCTGGTCGCCCAGGAACAATGACACCACCACAGCTCCCCTCTTTCCCTGAATCCCCAGGAGTCTGTATCCCCAGGAGTCTGTGGTTACCCTCAACGTAGAAGGGAAAGAAACCAGATTCCTGGTTGACACCGGGGCTATGTATTCTGTTCTTAAAGAACCCTTAGGACCTGTGATTAGAGAAAAGGTATACATTCAGGGAGCCACAGGACGAACGCAAGGCTACCCGCGGACTCGTGCCCGAATCACTGACCTAGCTCAAGGGACTGTTACTCATTCCTTTGTGCTCATACCGGATTGCCCATATTCCCTTCTGGGGAGAGATCTGTTGCACAAGCTTAAGGCCCAAATCTCCTTTACCGGAAATTCTACAGACTTGAGCCTATAGCCACCTGCCATTCTAGTTACTTGCCCTATATCAGAGGAATATCTACTCCTGGAAAAACTGGAGCGGAAAGCCTCTCCATTAATAGAAAAGTGGAAAGAGACAATTCCTACAGCTTGGGCTGAAACTAACCTCCCCCCACCGCCCCCCGGACTAGCCATTCAGCGAGCGCCGCTGGTGATCCAGCCAGCTGCCCCAGCCACCCCCATCCGGGTGAGGCAATATCCATCCCATCAGCCAGCAAGCGAGGGAGGGAATTGCCAAACACATC